AGGATAAATGAGTCTCATAGTTACTAAACTCAAGGAATATACACATCCTCAACTAGAAAGGAGAATGAGAACAGTGTTCAGAACTATTCTGGCATATTGATCTTGTAAGGAGGTCAAATGACTGTGTGTGTGTGTGTGGTTGCACGCTACCAAATGGGCTGGTAGTGATTATTTTATAGAATTCATTTGTTAAAGATGAGGAGAGTAAGGTCAATAAAATTATGCTACTCACCAAACAGCAAATAGTTTTCCAATGGTCTATCTTGAAGCACGGTCTTCTGATTCTCAGCTTTTGGAGATTTACTTGAGGCTGCAGAGAAGCAGGGGAAGCAAGCGTGATAGCTTCCAAAGCAAAGCAGAACCTTAATAAATCCCATGTTGATAAGTAGAGGAAGACTAGGAGAACCTTTTTTCATCTACCCAATCAAGACAAGAGTTCTTTTTGTTTCATCTTGTTATCTGCCAGTGTATTGTAGTACAACTGGACAAAATCATCCTGAAGAGAACTTGCCCTCTATTTGTTCCAAAGGAAGATGTAAATTGAGCCATTAGTGGAGAAATGAAGCCATCAGGCACAACTGTCGTGGCTTTTTAAGGAGATTGTTTGTACTAGGCACAAAGCAGGTAACTTTGGCGCTGAATCAAACCTGAGAGAGAGATGGTGAGAGATCAAGGGAAGAGGGAAAGAGAGAGGGGAGCAGCAGCTCAGGCCTGGCAGCTGGCCATCAGGCTACAGAAGGAGAGCTAAATTATGCATCTTATTTGGTACATTTATTAAAAGGACACTTCTAGGCAAACATCCCAAAACAAATGTGACTATCAGTTAAGCACCCCGCAGTCCTGAGCAGATTTAGTGCGTGACAATTTTCTCATAATGACTTTGTGGTGTTTGCTAAGTTTCATCTCTTTACAGAATTTTATGAATTGTGACTCTATAGGGATTTTACATAGACTGAATTTTCCTTCATTTGTGGTTGTTCAACAATGTAGAAAATGAACACATGGAGAGTGAAGATAGGAATGGGAAAGACATATTTGTTCAAATGATATTGAACTTAAGTTCTTGGTTGGTGTTTACCAACAAATTAGAGCATTGCTTTTCCTTATTGTTCATTACATTATTTTAAGAAATATTTGAACATCTCTTTTGTACCAGGGTTTCAACTCTAGATCCTGAGAGCACAAAAATGAACAAGATAAGGTTTCTGACATCAAGCAGTGCAATTTTAGGAGGGAAAGAAAAATACGTAAAAGATGAAAGCAGAACTATATAGATAGAAGTATCAAATACTGTAGGGCATAAAGGGAGGTGTGATTATTCCACCTGGAAAGTAATGGGAAGAGCAAGAGAGATTTTCGGAAAGGAAATGATGATGAGGCTAGCCCTGATAGAGGAACAGAGTGATGGAAAGCATTAGGCAAGGCATGATTACCCCGGTGGTTTTGAGAAATGGAAGCAGCTCACAATGATTGGAACATAAAGGGCAGAAGAGGAGAGTGAATGTAGCCAGAGTAAAGACTGGCAAGAGGGGGCCAGAGGATGGATTGTTTTATACAGCATGTTAAGGAGTTTGAAATTTTTCAGGAAAATGGAGCTTCTTGAATCGTCATTTGCTGAGAGTTTCAGAAATGATTTAGGAGTGAGGGATATTTCGAAAAGAGACTGTATTCAGGTTTCTTGGATAGTATTCATATCCATCAACCTTTCAAGTCCATGCTGTATGTATTTATTCATACTGCCTGAGATGCTGTTTGCCAGCTTTGATGTTCTTCAATATTCTTTAAAGTGGCGGTTATTTATTAATATCTTAAATGTGATTCATCAGTGGATGCCCCAAAACATTCTAAATTTCAAGACATTTGTCTGTTGTTCCTTGGTTTTGGGTTCAATTTTTATTTTCCAAAGTCCTGAGCATTAATAAGAACCCTTAGCACTGAAAGTTAAACAGGACTTGCTGCTGTCTGAAGACATCTTTAGGGTGGAAAGAAAAAATTCAACAGCTGACTTTAATATGTTCTTACTTCAAAGAGGCTATTGCCTTTTCTTTTCCATCACTTATTTGTGAACCTATGCCACCATCTAAGAGTCTGGGCCTTTGATTAGAAATTCACCTATGTTTTTTGCTTATCTTTCTTCTTAGTATGGCTTCCATCCATAAGTAGAGTAATTATTCTCTAGAGACAGTTTCAAATTTGAGTTACTAAAAATTTGAAGCAGGACTGAACATTTGACTGGATCATGTTATTTTGTCCCTCTTGATGCTCCAATTCTTTTCAACGTTGATACCAGTTTCGTTTAGTTATGAGACGTCAAAACTTCCCTCTTCTTTAACCACACCTGGAAAGTAAGCAGAGGAAGCATTGATGGACTTAAATTCCCATTGGAGTGCTAAAGGTTTGAGAAATGAGCTGTATGTCATAAAGTGACCCTTCCCATCCTGTCTCCTTACCTTAGTATCTTGGCTGGTTTTTTCCTTGGCTCAATGCCTATTTCAATGTTAGGATACCTGAGTTCTCATGGGACTCAGAGATTGTAGAATACGATCATACTCTTGTGGCAAGTGGACAGATAAAACTACCTACTTACACATTTGCTACGAAGAATTAGAAGGAAAGATGCACCGTGAGAATGCATTTTCCCCGAGGGGATGATAATGATAGGTTGTAACTGGCAATAGATGATTTTAGGATGAACCATCTATCTTTGTAGAAGGCATTTCAGTGTGGTGAGGACAGTAGCTAAGAGACCAGTTGAACTTTTGAAACTGTGAACAGCATGCTTCTGGGCCTTGTATTTCACACTCTTATTTTATTATTTCTCCCACAAGATTAAAGTGCAGGACATATATTTTATTTTATTTCAAAGAGTAGATTTAGACTTAGGCCAAAAGAATTTCCTTTGAGTTGCATGAGAAAATGAACAGAGCAGACAAAAAGTGAAGTGGCAGCCATACACATCTTAGGTTCTACTCTCAAACTACACACTCTAGAAACGTTATAAAGATTCATGAGGTTCTTCTTGCTTATAATTGTGTTGAACTTATATCTGGATTGATGGCTTGACTTCTTCAAAGTGTAGATGGAGAAGATAAGCAGTTTAGCAAAAAGGAGAAACTGCCCACATCGTGAAAATGGGACACAATTTGGGTTTGGAAAGCTTGGCTTTGAATTTTGTCTCTGCCTCTTACTGGCTATATGTTCCTAGCCAAGCCGCTTAGCCGAAGTGATGCTATAAAATAAGGATAAATAGGGACGATCTCTTTGTGAGGTTTAAATAAAGTATTTAAAAATATTTTAAAATTGAAGATAAACTTTTGCACCTTAAGATTTAAGATATGACATAGTTAAACGGCATTAGTCAGCATGAGTCTTATCACCGCTATGGTCATAATTTCATAGAGAAACAAATTGCTCTTAATAAATCAGTTTAGTAAACTCCACTTTTCAAACTTCAACCAATCTGAGGCTGTGTTGCGTCTATTTTCCTAAATGGTGATTTGTTATTGATGTTTTAACAGAGCTTTGAACTGTTAAAATGCTTTGGAAAATTCATCAGAGACACCTCGTCCTTAATTAGTTATCAGTACAATTGTGATTAAGTTGTCTTTGCTCTGGCTGGAACAAAACACCTCTAGAACCTCCACTCCCCACCCCATGAAAATCATTGCCCATTCAAAGCGGTGTCAATGTTTACATGTGTCACCTAAATGCACTTTTCTTAAAACTTCTCTAGACTGCAGTTGTTTCAACTAAGATGTGGAAATAGTAAATTAGCAAGTGTCCAGCTCTTGCCTACGGTGTGGGGAGCACAGTCATGCAAGGATGAAACTGCAAACCTTTTCTTGTTCACCTGGCTGAACTCCACTGAGTCATGGGAAAGAGAAGGGAGAAGACGGTTATTTCTTTGGATGGAGAAAACATGCGGTTAAATGTAAAATATATGGATTGTGTAATAAAGAAATAATTATAAACATATCAAAGAATGCCTGAAGAATTGCTGAATTTGCAGGGCAAAATTTAAAGTCTCCACCGTGGAGGACAGTGAATATCCCTTGACTTGGCCATCCTTTTTATAGCATTTTCTCTACTTCTTTGTGATTTACTAGGGCAATCCCCTCGTTCCCATATTTCTTGCTACCCCAAACTGCACATCTCACACATTCCAAGCTGCACCTCAGTCAGCTGTTGTAAGCCTTCACCTTCTGGCCACAGCAAGCCTATGAATAACTCCCCGAGTGCTCTTAAGAGAGTGTTTGTGTGTAATGAACAGCATGTGATTTCTCTTAAAAAGTCTTAGGAGATTGTGGATCAGTATGTGCATGAACTTTCATTAATCCTTTCATTGCATGATTGTAGTGGCACTTGAGAAAATGAAGAATTTTCCCCTCTATTTCAGAAAATAAGAAAGGATAAATCACAGGACTCCAGGACCAGGGAAAGAGAATGATTCAGAATTTCATTTCTGGTTTACACATGGTACCACTCTACTCATGAAGACTTATCTAGAATCTAATAGCTTCTATGGCTTTAGACCTAAATTAAGCAAATTATACAGCGTTGTAAAGAGTGACTTCTCAAGCTTCTACAAGTCTGTTTTCATTTCCCATGGGCGGAGAATTTCCTCTTCCTTTTCTCAGTGAAGCATATCTCTGTGGTATTGGTTTGTCAGTCAGGTAGAGTCTTAGGAGGAAACAGATGACAATGCCTCAAATTGGGTCTTTTGGTGAAATTTTACCACAGGATCCATCTGCAAAGGTGTGGACAGAGTATACAGAAGCAACGCAGGAGGGGGCAGTACTCAGGAGACAGTAACAGGGCAACATAGATACTACCCCTGAAGGGGTAGTTACCAGCTGAGAGTCAGAGAGAGAGAGAGAGAAAGATCAGTCTATGCAAAGGGGAGTGGTTCAACTTGAGTGGATACAGAGAGAGTGAGAGGACCCAAAGTAATATAAGCTCTGAATTTACTCTCCTCACTCTCTCCCTGCAACTCCTGAAAGTGCTGCCTGTCAGCAGAAACAACCAGAAGCCAGTGACAAGTGAGCCTGTTGATGCAGCCCACATAGATCAGCCTCCTAGGGCAGAGCAAGGTGGAGAAGTTCAGAGTGGAGCCAAAGAGGCAAAGTGAAGAAATCCAGCACACTGAGTGAGTATATTTTGATCTCTGCAGCCGTTACCAATGAAGCCGAGAGGACTGGCAGTGTCTTCATTACTGAACTGTGGAGACCTCTAATTATGGGCTCATTACACATCCGCCAGAACTTCAAAAGTCAATAGTTTGGCTTGGGTAAGCTATTCTCTGGAGTCAAAAAGAAAGAGTTTGAACTAGGGCTCTTTAATCACTGTCCAGTGAATGTTTTATGGAGTGTGCTGCCTATTCTTAGAGGCTATCTTCTCCCTAGATTCATTCTCAGCAGAGCTCTGCCCTGCTCCATGCTCTGAGCAGCTGAACTCTACTGATTGCATCTCAGGACTCCCTGACTTCTAGCTTCTGGTTGAGCTTTGGTAATGGGAAGCTCTGCCAATGCACATAGGTATTTGTTTGTTTTTTTGTTTTATACAATATAGTAAACCCCAAGAGGTTAGGGATTGTGTTTCTCCTTTATTTCTTTCACAAAACCCGGTAGAATAAGGCTACATATATTACAATGAATAAGGACTAAATAATTGATTGGCTAGAGGTTCATAAACATGTCTGAGCTTGCATCCCAAAGTAAATTTCAGAGTCAATTATGAATGGTGCTGCAGGAAGAGATTTATCTTCCACTGTTATTCATACATTCAACAAATACTAATTGACATTGCAACTTACTCTGTGCTGTGGGCAGCACAAGGAATTGCAGGTGCAGTGGAAAATGATGCAGACAGAGCACTTGGCTTGAAGGCACCTAGGGAATGATGTGGTGATGAGAACTTGGGCTTAGGAACTCAGTAGATGTGCACCCAGGTTCAAGGCCTGGCTTTGTGTGATACTGATATGTATATATATAACTTACCAAACTTAGTTTTCTCATCTGTAAAAATGGAGATATTAATATTTTATAAGTTTTTTTGTAAGCAATAAAAGAAGTAAGCCAAATAAATCACTTATGACAGTGCTGGGTACATAGCAAGAGGTCAATAAATATTAACTGCTATGACTACTACAGTGAGCTGCATGGGGAGATGAAAGAGCACAAAAGGGTATTAATGATGCTGATAGAGTAGCACTGGCCTCAGAGTTGAGTGATTCCAAGGGTTCAAGAAGCAATTTGGAAAAAGACTTATACCAAGAAAAGGGACAAACAAAATAGCTTCTTGGCCTAATAAGAAAACCTCAGCTCTCAGAGTACAAGGCAATATTGAGTCTGTCATGATGTTTGTCACTGGGATTTGCCTGTCAGGCCAACCTTCACAACCCCATGTCTGAATCATATGGTGTATGTGGATGGGGAGGAAGATACTAGAAGCCTTCCTACCTCTTTAATGAAATGAAACTCAAAGGAGGGAGAGAGATCCTTCCCACCTCCCACACTTTCCAGTTTGAACACTTGAGAGCCACACTGGGGCTCAGAGGGAGAAGATGAAATGCAGCAAATTGCAGAGATAGCTATGCATCTGGTGAAAATTCTAGGGGATGTATCAATCGCCACTGCTTGGAAAAATCCATTGCATGGTCGTGACTCAAGGAGCCCAACTAAAGGGGAGAAAAACCAAAAGAAGAGGGAAGAAAAAAGTCCCCATTTGGCGCATGTAGTGGACTGGCCTGTAACCGCAGAAAAGCCCCTGGGGGTGCAAAGAATCATCCACAGGGGAGGAAATTACCAGAAGATTGGGGTCACGACCTGTCAGAGGCAAGAGAGGCCCGTTCTGTTCCCCTTTGGTGGTTCCTGTTCATCTAAAATTGTTTTTTAGTGTCAAAACATAGTTTCAAAAGTTGTAGAATACTAATAATACTTTTTAGCATATTAATAATAATGTAAAAATAATTCTGGTATTCAGAAGTTAATTATAACATTTATAAAAAGCCATAATTCATAGTGTACAATGATAATGAGGTCCAGTATTGAGATACAGTTTTAAAGTATCTTTTCCTTCAGTCTTATCAGTGTCTCTCTCTGATTGTAGTAAATCTTCCTTCAGAGATAACATCAAATGTTCACCTTGGAAGTCCTTTACGAATATGAAACATACACTAAATGGTCGTCCTCCTGTTCTCTACCCTCCTCCTCTCCCATGCCAGGCGTGGACCCTAATGGACCCAAATTGTTGTGCTGCAATAAATGGTGGAGGCAAGAGCAGCCATAGACACAGGTGATTATAGTTTTTTACCCACAGATCACATCAGCTTGTGCAATCTCATATTATACATGTGGTAGCCTGTAATATAGAAAGTGTTTGACATTTCCACTCTCTTGACTTGCATTTATTTCTCAGCCTAGCATTGGTTTCTTTCCCCATCACTCTCCTGAGACTCTTTTCATTAATGTCATGAATGACCCATTATATGGCAAACCAATGGCATATACTCCTTGACCATTTTATTCTACTTTTTGTTGCTCTTCTTTCCTTTGACTTTCTAGATGCCTGTCTGTGTTCATAAGCACTGATCTTTCTATTTAATTTGTCCTACCTCCTCTTCCAGTCTCTCAATAAAAGTCTGCATTCCTCAGAAGTCCATCTTGGGTCCTACAATGTCCGAAATCTCTGCTATTTCTCTAACGTACACCTTTTAAACCAATGGTTACAACTCTTTTACATAAGACTCACAAATCCACATTACGTCTCCAAACTCAAATTTTCTCTTCAACCCCATACTCACATATCCAGATAGCTTTGCCTGCTGAATTTTTTTTTTATGGGAGTATAGCATACTTTACAAATATTTGGCATAAAAAAACTGAACTCCTTGGATTTTCACTCTCCTCCGTATACATGGAAGCACTTTTGAGTTTTTGCTCTCACATTTCACAGTAACTTGCAAACATAGTAACTCATTTCGCAACACCTTTCAAATACAGCATTCTCATTACTGTCTCACTTTTGAAAGTTTGCACAGGCTTCTATTGTGTTCCTCCCAACACTCATGGCACTATCACCAGAATGATATTCTAATAAATAAATATGATCATGTAATTCTCCAGTTTCAAAAACCATTGTTGACTGCTGACTCACAGTTGCCTTGAAAATTATATTCCAACTCTTTACACGGAAATATAAGGACCTTGGCATGCTATAGTGCTCTTCCTACTTTTATCTGTCTAAGAAAATGCCCAATTGTTCTTCATAGACAGATCAGTTGCTAAATTTTGGTGAAAACTTTCTAGAGTACTCCAGAAATGGTTGCTTTTCTCTCTTTTTTAACTCTCCCACGCATTTCTCTACAACATCACTTTAAAATTTCCCCGAGTATAATTTGTTGATTTTCATTTTTGAATCGCCTGTTTGTCTGAGCCTAGCACAATGCCGGGCACATCAAAGAAGCTCAGGATGCAGTTGGATAATGGATATCTGAATGAACGAAAAATAGTGAAATGCAAGGGCTGGTGGTAATTTGCTGCTCCTAAGCCAGTTTTAGGGACTGATGGGCTTGATGTGTGACATCTCATAGCTTCAGTTTCCTCTGAAAGAAAATGTGGGTAACTTGTATTTATAAAGGAACAGTACTTTGGGGCTGGCCCGGTGGTGCAGCGGTTAAGTGTGCATCTTCTACTTCGGCGGCCCAGGGTTTGCCAGTTTGGATCCCGGGTGCGGATATGCACCGCTTGTCAGGCCATGCTGTGGTAGGCATCCCACATATAAAGTAGAGGAGGATGGGCACAGATGTTAGCTCAGGGCCAGTCTTCCTCAGCAAAAAGAGGGGGATTGGCAGCAGATGTTAGCTCAGAGCTAATCTTCCTCCAAAAAAAAAAAAGCAACAGTACTGTCTTTTGCAGGGGCGAGAGCTGGAGAAAGCAATAGCCTTTATCAGGAAGAGAGCATGGTGTAGTAAATTTATGTGTCAGGGAAGAAGTGTGCCCAATCAGGCAATTAACAATCATTTAGTCAATAACCCCAGAACTTAGGGTCAATTCCCACTGAGATCCTCAATCCTCTACGAGCAGTGGACTGCTGCTCATCTTCGTGATGTTTCTGGTTTAGTTAAAAAACTATTAATTTAGTAATCATTTTCCTATGCTTTCTATTTATAATAACAAAGTAAGGCAGTTGACCTGAATTATAAATTGTCCTCTCTTTATGATTTTCTGGTTTGTTTTCCAAAGATAATCTGCTCTTAAAAAGCAAAGCATTCTTGGGTACATATAGGCATTCTAGGCTAACTAGGTTTTTGTGGATTGCTGACAAATGATTGTAAACAAAGGTAGTTCGCTCCACTGTAACCTTGACCCATGAAGGCCAAGAAATGTATTGTTCATTTAAATGAAATTCATTTTGCTGTCATATTAGTTATGCTTGAAAGTTTTATATCCAGCAGAGATTTTCAGGGACATGCTGTTCCTGGAACAGTGAACATGCTAATGCAGACAGATATTAGAACCGGAGAACAAACTTTAACCAGCATAGAAAAGTTTGTGCAATGAAAGGAAGCAGGGAGGATGGGAGAAAGGGAAGAAGGGAGAGAGAAAGAGAGAGAGGAGAGAAGGAGGGAGAGAAGGGCAGAGGGAGAAAGATTTTTTTTTTAAGAATAGTTTCAGAATGTCAACCCTTATGGAAGATTGCATTATTTTTTATTTTTGCCAAATATGCACTCCCTGTCCTGTAAGAGGATTATACCTCCATGCCCTGTTGACAACTGTGAAACGTCTGAGGTTTTACCCCGCTTACAAGCTAGGAACTTAACCTGTCACAGTTTCATGAATGCTGGCAGAAGACCCAAGAACCCCAGGTCAGAGAGAGAGGACTTTATTACTCGCAGCACATCAGGCAGCATGAACTTCATGTTTAGATCAATTTTGCTTCCCACTCACTTCAAGTTTGACAGAGGCAACCGGGAGGTGGTCTTAGGTCAATGTTGCACACAGCAGGTTCATATCTAGAGAGGAACCCTGAGCTTAGGGAACCTCCAATTTTATAAGAGATTGCTAGCAAATCTGCCCAATTTTTGCCCTGGAAGGAAACATCTTTATTACCTCAGACAGCAAACAAATTTCCCCACTACCCTGTAGGAAGACCCTCTCTCTATCTTCTAAGACTGTTAACGAATATCTTTGAAAAGATAGTCCTACCAATACATGGGTTTTCATGGTTGTTTTTTCCAGAGCTTTAAAGCTTCAAAATTGTAAAACTTTCTCAAGCAATAAAGTTTGAATACACATTAATTAAAGATAAGAGTAATGTATACCATGTGATGCTTTTCGGTTTGCAAAATACTTTCCTATGCATATTGTGCCTAATCATATATAAGATCAATGGTAATGAAGCTAAATCCACTCCAGGTTTTAGGTAATGATCCATGATGGTAGGAAGGGGGCCTACAATTATGACAATCACATATACTAAGGAGGTAAAACTGACAATAGAGGTTGTGGGAGTTGTAATAAATTGTGTGTGTGTGTTTATGGTCGTGTTCCTTACCAGGTCATTATAAAACAAATGTTATGAATTATCCACATAATGCACTGTTTGCTTTCTAGCACTGTCCTTAAGCAGCATTATTGAAACTGTATCATAACAGGGTAAGAATGTGGATGTAACTTAGACATTAAAAATAGAGGTGCTGGATTTAAAAATATAAATAGAAAAATCAGAAATAGAAAACAGGATTAAAAATACTAAAATCCTGTCTCCACAGATGAAATTTCAGAGAGAATTTCTGCAAGCTTTAGTAATGTCATAGAGATGCTATTAAACAGCTCATAACTGTCCTTGGGATTTTCTTTTTCTTTTCCTTTCAATAGAATCAAAGTCAATCATGAGTCAGACACATACACCATTGGTGCTGGAAAGGCCCTAAAGAATCCTGCAGCCCAGTGAATCTCAAACTTTACTGCATGCAACTGGAATCAAGTGAGAATCATTGGAATCCATAAAAATACAGAAGCCCAGGACCTCACCAATCAAGGATCTAATTTCTTAGATCTAGTCATTCTGATGCAAACCAGTTCAGAGAACCACTGTTCTAACTTAACTTTAAAGATGAAGAAAACCATCACTTATAAAATCTCCGGTCATTATTTCTTCCTATCCATTTGCATTACTACTACCTTAATCTCAACTTTTGTTACCCCAATATCTATAACAGTCTCTGGCAGTAGGTGTTATCGGATAAATGTTTGTTAAATTAATGAACGTTTATCTTTTGCTTTGGGATCCTTTTCAATGCTGATAATTATTCCACCTCCAACCAATCTATGGCATGCTGTTGATTAATATTGCTTTGAAAATTGAAAGAACAATCTTGAGTAAGGAAGGCATTATTTATCCATTTTACAGATGAGAAAACTGAGGCAAGGAGAAGTAAGTGATTAGTATTTCTTTTGCAGAACATAGTGAAGGAGCTATTGCTTGAATTAAGAGATAGCATGTTTGTGAAGACATAATTCATAAGCCCTTTGTATAATTTAGCTATGTCACAACTATTACGTATCAAGAAATGTGACATAACAGAGAGAGAGTGGAAGACAGAGGGAACGGGAGGTAATATGTTGTAGTAGTTAGGTAGGCAGAGATAAGAGCTTGACTCCTGGTTCAAATCCCACCTCTATCATGTGTGGCCTTTAGTTGTATGACCTCAGTGTGTTTATTGATCTCTCGAAACCACATTTTTCTTATCCATAAAAGGATGATCATAATAATATTTTGTTTGGGGGTTATTATCAGGATTAAATGAAGATTAAGTGTAAAAGCTTAATAGATCATCTGACAAATAGTAAATAGTCAATAAATTTTACTTATTATTCATGTTATCATCATCATCACCATCACCATTGTCATTAACATGAGAATATTTTAGGAGGTCGGGTTGTATCAAACTCGGGTTTTATCAAAGACAGACACTGTTTATCAATAGGACTGTGAGCTCTTATAAGGCGTTATAATATTAACCAAAAATTAGGAAAAGGGGTATTATTCAGGTGTATGTAGAAAAGAATAGGGGAACAAGCTCAAGTTGGCTAAAAATATTTGAACGAATGGTTTCCTTTCTGCTAAGGTAGGTTCTAACATGCCTAGACTTGGTTTTCTTGCCCAGGAGTATCTCAAAGGTATGATAAATACCTGTCAGTAGTTGTACATAAATCCATACATTTAAATATCTGTCCAATTTTTAAAGTATATAAGTGTGATCATTGTGTATACTGACCCCGACATTCTTTGAGTTGGAAATCAGGATACATCTCTTTTGTGTGTGAATATAATTGCATGCAATGCAGTATAGAACTTAAGAAAATGTTATATTTATAAGATCTTATTAGATTAGCCTTGTGACAGTATGAATTGTTTCTTTTACCTTTTCCTGTCATTGTAGAGCCATTCCATTGACACAAATACACAAATTAAGAGGCATCGGTAGAATTGTAAACTGGCTTACTGAGGTTGTAAATAGGCATTGCCACTGTCCATAAAACTTCATTGGTATTAAAAAGATCTCATCATTTATCTACTGCACTGCATGGCTGCCCAGGTAAGGTCCCAGCAGCTTCATGGTCTGACACTGTCAGAAAGATTCAGGACTCAGGAAAAGAAACAGCTCTCTCTTGTCACATGACTGTACATCTCAGTTATGCTCTGTAGAGACTGTTGTAAAGGACACCAAAGCATTTGAGCAAATCGCATGAATAATAACAAATTTAGAAAGCATGTTCCTTCAGAAGTATGTAAGTATTCTACCTAAATGTAACAATAACAATAGTAAATATTTATCAATGGGGCTTATTATCTGCTGGGGACTATGGTAGATTCTTTACAGGAATTATTTCATTTAGTCTTTATGGCAATATTGAGGTAGTGATAATATCCCCATTTTACAGATAAGGATATTGAGTTACAGAGAGGTTAAGTAATTTCCCCAAGATCATCCACCTAATAAAGGTAGAGTCAGAATGTGAACTCAGGCCATTTGTCCTAGGAGCCCTAGTTCTTAAATATTAACTCTTTACTACAATGTTTTCATTCGTATTAACTGTGTGCAAGTGATAAGACATCGATGGATTTTGATATTACTTCTTCATCTCACTTGGGAAGGAAAGTATTGATTAGTCAAAGAGTTTCTTGTAACATTATGTTAGTCAGGATAAGCTAAGCTATGCTGTGATAACAAATAAATTTCCAAATCTCAGTGGCTTATCAAAAAAAGTAGTTTATTTCTCACTCACATTATAGGTCAGGTGGCCCTCCTTGGCAGTTCTCCTCAAATTATGGCTCAGGCTCTGAGCAACTTCTGTTCTACAACTCCACCATGCAGGTCTTTGCTTCCAGGGCACAGATATGAGAGGGAGACCATGAAGGACGTATATCATCTTTTAACTATCTTTTATGCTCATGTTCCCATTGATGAAATTTCAGGCACACAGTGTCAGTCTAACTCCAAGAAGGCTAGGAAATATAGTTTTCTTGTGTGAAGAGAAGGAGGAGACACTGTGGCAAATACATTGTATGTTTCTCCACAAGCATCAGACCACAACTCTTTCTTACTACTTCAATTCATTTTCTTCAAGCCTGCCTCTTTGCACAGAAGGAAACCATCGAAGAATGTGAGACTTCTGACAGTACTATTTAATGAAATTTTGAAACCAATAGACTTCTTGAATAATGGGTGTATCAATTTGCACAAATAAATAATAGAATGCAAAGTATTCTCAATAACATCATATATATTAAAACTTCTGTGTATATTTTAAGTATGAAGATTGGAAATCATCTAATTAACTAAAGTCTTGATTAGGAAGGGAGTGGCTTGGTTTTAATTATTAGTTTCTACTTAACTACTGTGTGTATGTGTGTGTGCACACGCACATGTGTGCATGGCCTCATCTCACTAGTGTGGTTAGCTGAAGCTGGCAAGTGTACTACACTTTTCATTTATCCAAAACAGTTTTCTCTTTTATTAAGGTAGTTGTGGTTATTAGAGCATGAAGGGATGGAAGATAAGCTGTTTATGAAGAAACCTTTTATTTAACCATCCTCCTCCCCACCTGCACTCTAAACCAAGTAGAATTTACCATTGCCTTCTCTATATCTCCACTGTATCCTGTTCATTGTCCTATCAGAGCACTGCTTAGTGTCTGTAGGAGTGATGGAGAAATTAACGCACGCAAGAAGAACTATATATTTAAATACAGTGTAGGTGGCTGTATATTTACCCATTGGTAACAATGCTTGGTTCACAGATTTAGGAGTTATCAATTAATCTGTGATGGTTAAAGTCATGTGTGTGAGGAAACCAAGGCAACAGAAATGCTTGCATGGCATACAGCAAGTTCAGAATAAAGTGAAGACTAGTCTGGATTTCTACTGGAAATGAACCAGTTAAAATGAAGAAATAGTGTTATATAAAAATGACAATTTGAAGGAAGAATAACTTATAAATGTAACACACAATGACAAAAGCCGAGACAGTGGTTTAAATAAAAAAAAATCTATATCTGTAAGGAGGAAAAGCAATCTTAGGAAATTAGTAAGATTGTTTTTTCCTCCACATAACATTGAACTATTGAGACAGATTTTATGAATTCTATTTTCTTCGGGAATCTGTCTTCCTTAAAAAACAAAAAAAGCAACAATTTAAAGAGCCTTTCCTTGCTTGAAATTCATCTTGTCGCTTTTCTTATAACTTTTTCTTCTCCCGTGTTGCGCCAGAAATGCAGACACTTGAATGTGTCGCCTCTGCCTACTAGAGCTAATTTTTCAATTTACATAAATAAATAACCTGCCAAAACTAATTACTTCTCTTCAAAATCTAAATACATTATTTCTCCTCTTTTTCCAGTCTGTCTTGTTTTAATTATTTTCACATCAGTTGTCATTTTAGAAGCTGGGTTAGTCTAAAAATGGATAATCGGATGTATCTTACTGTTTTAATTTGGCTAATTAAGATTGCTGCTTTTGTCTGGATGTCTGGAAGCATGCATCCACAGCCTGTTCATACTTTGGGGTGTTGGGGCAAACAAAATCAAGAAGAAAAATGGAAATAGTCCATTATATTTATATTCATTTACATACTAAATGTAATCTACTCTTTACATTTACTCTCCCTGTCACCCAACCTTATTCTCCAATGCCCTACGAACTTTACAAGCAAGTCAAGAAAGGCAGGTCAAAATCTTCTTCATCCTTAGAGTTTATTATTCCAAGATAAAGAACACCTCAAATATCGCACCTGAGATTTCTACAGCCGCCTCATGGCTTGAATCAAGAAAATTGTGAACACAGCCCGTGACTGCTCCTGGAAAGCAGATGGTTAGCTGACTAACCACACAATTCACGGGTTGTAACAGACTGGTCGTGGGGAAAATTGTACAGCAGCACCTGGAAAGTATATGGAAGAAAGAACAGGTGGGAAAAAAGAGGCTTCTTGGCATCAACAATCTAGTGACTGCGTCGGAAGTGTTTAGATTTGCATTCTTCAGACTGGTGCCAGCTTGCATTTATCTGGCACACTATCTTCCCAATTGATCACTGATTTTTTTTTTCATACTTTGTCTCATTTATCTTTACTACATGGTTGTATGAAAGGAATTGGCCATCTTAGAATTCTTGTTACTAATGGGGCAACTAAAATAGAGTCAATTCATTACTGGCCCCAAATCATGTAGTTAATTAGACCTTGTGTCTTATCTGTGAAACTGAGCTATTCCTTGAATTTTTTAGTGACCAAAGAGGCAGATGTTCTGCCTCCAATGGTGGTAATATGTTATATATTTATATCTTCCTTTTTAAATGCAATGAAGATTAAATCCAATGGAGGGGACACATTATTTTTGAATAAAAAGTTAGGGAAGAGGAAGTTATATTTAGCCTGATTTCCTGAATTCACACAAATAAAGTATACTGTTTAGGCGAGAACCCTTTAATTACAAGAATAGTTGCCACAGAAGTCTACTATAATGGTCAATTTACATTTTCACCTGACATTTAGTTTGTAAAACAGAGTATTTTATTTAGTTTTATATTTTTTTTTGTCTTGGATGCCTTATTTCTTGATTTTATATTTGCAAAACAGATCTTCCTTCTATACTTTCCTTGCAGGTACATCATGGGACATTTTTTACATTTTTACATTTTTTACATTTTTTTTTAATCTAATTGCCAGTCTTGGTGTTTAGGTACAAATTAAAGTGACTCTGGTAGCATACAAAACAAGGAATAATAATTATTACAGTGTTTATTGACTGACTACCACATGACAGGCCCTGTTCTCGGTGCTTTTTGGGTATTTTCTCATTTAAACCTCAGGTAAATCTATAAAGCAATATTATTATTACTGTCATAGTTTTATACACGAGCTACTTGAAGCTCAGAGGAGTTACATGACTTGACGAGACTCACGCATTTAGTAAATTGTGGAGCCAGAATCTGAACTCACACTGTCTGAAGCTGGAGACCCTGACCCCTGCCGTGCTGCCTTCCATATGCTCTTGTGCCCAAGATCCCAGGACGGAACTGTGTGCATCACTTTCAGCTTAGACTCAGCACGGAGTTGGCAAAACTGAATGAAATATTCTTCCTCGAAAAGCTATAGACTCCGTGAAATTCCTATATCTAGCATTTCTTTCTAAGTACAGTGAGAAGAGAAGGTTCTTTGGCCATTTTTTTTATCTTTTTCTTCCCTTTTTTTGTGAGGAAGATTAGCCCTGAGCTAACTACTGCCAGTCCTCCTCTTTTGCTGAGGAAGCCTGGCCCTGAGCTAACATCCGTGCCCATCTTTGTCTACTTTATATGTGGGACGCCTACCCCAGCATGGTGTTCTGAGCAGTGCCATGTCCGCACCCCGGATCCTCCGAACTGGCGAACCCCGAGCCGCTGAGAAGCTGAACGTGCGAACTTAACCGCTGCGCCACCAGGCCAGCCCCGTTTTATCTTTTTAAATTCTTGTAGGTCAAGGAATATACAAAGGAAGAAAAGAGAATGGAGACAGAATTAAACAGTTTGTCTTGATTGTTTTAATGTTTCAACCTTTTCCATTTTAACTTCTTTAATTGACAGCATCTTGAATTATTGGCACTTTTGAGCACTTTGTAAATTATATATAAAAATTTAAAAGGGATTTTTCAGCCATTTTCATATGCATAGACCAAATGTAACACATTTTAGATGTGTCCTCCCCTTCATCTCTCCATAGTTTATGGCTTCAAGTTGCACAGTGTTGATTGGACTGTGAATACTAGTGTGAAAAGAATTTTGTGTTTGTGTGTGAGGAAGATTGTCGCTGAGCTAACATCTGCGCCAATCTTCCTCTATGTGGGATGCTGCCACAGCATGGCTTGACAAGCGGTGTTAGGTCTGCATCCGGGATCTGAACCTGCAAATCCCAGGCCACTGAAGTGGAGAGCGCAAACTTAACCACTACACACCCAGCCAGCCCCAAAGGAATATTTTTTTAAAAGGTACAATCTTTAGTCTCATATAGATGTAAAATGAGCACAAGTTGAAGATTTTATTTAACTCATTATTAATGAGAGTATCTAATAGATATTCAAAAAGTCAAAGATGCACAAATTTATATGAAGTAAGGCAATGTTGAAATAAATTTACAAATAGAATACTGGCTTTTTCCACAAGGAGAAAAAAGGAAGTCAACTGAACTTCCCCCAGACAGGATTTATTTGCATTTCTATAGAGAAGGATTATTTTGCATTGCTGTCCATTATCTACAATTTATAGAGTTGTAAAACATCTCAAAGGCAGTGAAAAGCCAAAATCAGATAACCAAAAGAGATGTGCGCTAAACAATTCATAGTTTTCCTACACTGGATGAACCTGAATATTGAGACACCTGAGGCTGTTCACATGCAAATCGAAGAGATGAGATTACTGGTACACAAAAGCATCCAGCAAAGACTTCTGCCAAAGCAATTTTGTTTTATTTATTATACTATAAACACAGTTTTAAATGCATGGCAAGATTTATCAGTTGTGTTATCATTGGAGTCTGGAAATAATTGTATGAAAGGAAAAATTTAAGGATCTGGAGATTTGTAAGGAGTACTTCCACAGGAGAAAAAAAGAAGCAGATACAAAGAGATTGCAGGAAAATAAAGGAGTTCTCACTATAGAGAGTTTAAGATGAGTACAGAAACTGCAAGAGAAAGAATGTCCAAATGCAATTTGGATGATAGATACCATCAAGACCTACGTGAGACCTAATTGCATCCACGGGCTTTTGAGGATGTTCACTCAAGGTTAAAGGAAGTTGGTCATGATTAGAAAGTTCTACTTTAGCATTTTTTGGTACACTATTACCTGTTGGAAGATCATCAGGTAGGTCATTAGAGAACGTCTGGCGAATAGAAGAGACAAGTGGATAATTTATGAGGCAGAATGTGGAGTCATGCTTTGCTGATGCCTTTGAAATATGACATTAATAGATGATGTCTTAGTGGTATTTACAGAATGATGTTAGTAAATACAAAACAACAATTCCTATACAAAACAATAATTCCTATCTTTTCCGAATATGTCACATGAGGCAGAAGAGTGGCAAAGCTTA